TCTTCCAGGTGTACTTTTTCGTACATCGAGTTGTCCTCGTACCCAATGTACTTAGCAGTATTTTAGTCACCGCTGTTGTAGGTGATATCTGCACTTGTGTCCACAAGGGTTTATTGTGCTTACAATGTACCCATTGTTGTTATCCACAAGCGGCTCGTGTGTATTTACGGGGGGCCGCTGTATCCACGACGACCACCTAGAAGTGTTCGTAGGAGAGCCATTGTTTCTGCATCATATCCACTTTTTACCAATCTCAGGTGGTTTGATGTTTGCACTTGTTGTAGTTGTCTCACATTTGTCTTGTGGGTAATGGTTTTGGGTGCATCACAAACTTTCTACAATCACCCATAAACACTTGTATTAACCTTCATATCATCTGTTTCCACTTGTGGTAGATGAGCGTATTTATTGGCCATTGATATAGCATTGATTGCAAGGATTAAGCAGACATTGTACATTGATTGCCAATGAATCGTGCTTCATGTAGCTTTTTCTAACATTGACTATATGCAGATTGATGTGCTTGTTCGTATCTTGATTCGTCGTTTGAAGTAGCATTTGTATTAAGCAATCAAATTTCAATTCTTTGTTGTTCGTTCGAGTTCGAGTCCAATCATAACTCTTTTGCAAGGCGTTCACAAATGCTTCGTTACTTGAACTGAACTTAACTCAAAGCACCTTGAATTAGATTTGGTTTCATATGGCTCATTAAAGTCCAGGTCCTTTATGATTTATTCAAGCTTCTTATGTCATCCTTCGAATCAAGTACTTATCGACTATTTGATTCAAATTCATCATCACTTGATTAAGCTTGAACTCATGCCCATTGCACTTGATTTGGTTTGGTTAAGCTTGAGTTATTCATTGCTTTGTTGGATTCAAGCCCAAGTGTGGTCCTCATCAATTCAAATCACATTCAAATTATGCTTGCAAGATGGGTTGGATGTGTACAATGAGCTCAACACTATTAGCCATCAATATTTTTTTTAATCTAATTAAAGTGATGCTCTATTCATTTTCAATGAAAGCTTTGTATTATTAGAAATTATCGTTCAAAAGTTTATGTCAAAGTCTCGTGCATTCAAGTTCTACTTGATACTGCCCAACTCAAATTCAACGTCCACAAGCTTCTGCTTTGAGTTCGAATCTGTTGTGTTTCATTTGAGTTCAGGTTCTAGTTCAATGAACAAGTTCAAGTCCTCTTGCCATTTTGTTTGGTTTAAATTTGCAAGTCCTTGCAAGTTCAATTGTATGTCCATATTGATTTGGATTTGACTCCAATTTGATCTTTGTTTTATTTGGATTTGACATTTAGAAATCATTTAAATTTTTTTTTCAGATTTAGGTCCACAAGTTCGCTTCTCTTTTGAATCCAAATTCTTATTCTTTTGAGTTCAAATCAGGTCCAAGTGCGGTCATATTTTCACACGAAATTTCGGCACCCTCCTGACGTCTACCCCGTTTAGGAAAAAACTACGGAAAACTGGGCATTTCCCACCATGCTAAGAAAAGCGTGTATGGTACGTGCCCTCGTACGAGAACACCGCAGTCGTGTAAATTATTTGTCCCCACCACGCTAAGAAAAGCGTGTATGGGTCTTCGGTACCTGTTACAAAAAAAGAGTAGTCGTTTCCCCGCAGGTACAGAGCCACGTACGGTACTTAAGAGTTGTCCCGGCCACGCTACGAAAAGCGTGCACCAGGCTTACCTGCCTCGTCGTATGTGTCGCACCGGATTCCCTCCTACCACGCTAAGAAAAGCGTGCATAGGTGGTTGACCGGCTCATCGCACACACCGAGGACAAGATTTTGGAGTCAAAGGCCGCTCATCTACCTCGTTGTAGGTGCCGCACCGGGTTCCCTCCTACCACGCTAAGAAAAGCGTGTATAAGTGGTTTGCCGATCCGACACGCATGCCGAGGTAAGAGAGGGTTTTAGTTTTAGAAATTATACCATGCCGATTGATGAACCGGCAGTGGAGGCTCGTGGATCGAGGCAAGATTTTCATTTTTTTTAGTAATTATAATTAACGGGTAATTATAACTATCTTTAAATAATTATATTTATTTATAATTAATGAGAATTAATTAATATTAATTAACGTTAATTAATTAATACTAAATAATTTTAATTAATAATAAATAAGTAATAATTAATTAAGATAAATATAATTAACATTAATTAGAATTAATTTTAATTACAAACCCATTAATCCCTCTCTCCCTCTTTCTCTGTTTAGAAAATTTACAGGATTCCGCCGAAGGAGCCCGTGGAAGGCAGAAAGTTACCTTCTCTGCGGGTGAGCTCTCGTAGTTGCTTCCAATCGAAATGTCTTAACTTCCGATTCTTAGGAAGGGAGGGTCCTCAAGGAGCAAAGTCGGACAACGTCGGAGGCCGGAGAAGCACGTGAAATGTAGAAAGTTACCCTCACAGGCGGCGAAGCTCCCGTTTCGGCTTCCGATCAAAATATTGTGACTTCCGGTTCGGCAAGAAAGGGGAAGTTGTCGAAGGAGTTGGGTCGAACGGCCACGAACAGGCCGCAGAAGCGTGCGCTAGGGAGAATGTTATCTTCACAGCCGCGAGCTCCCGTCATTGCTTCCATCAAAATGTCGTAGCTTTTGGTCCGTCCGGGGGTAAAAGCCGTCGAATGAGCTAAGTGGAACAGCGACTAGGGAGTCTGGGAAGCCACGCGAAGGGGAGAGATCAAGAGAGAGAGAGCGAGAGGGAGATCGAGAGCGACAGAGAGAGGAGCTTCGGAGATCAGCCTGATGGCTTCGTTCTTACGCCCTTTTAACGACGCGAGGTCATGCGAGGAAACGACATCGGTCGTGCGAGCAACGTGCGAACTGCGTCGAGGACGTGCGACGCCTGCAGCAGGTATGGGATTTTTTCTTTTTTTTTTTCTTTTGTATTACGGGTTAACAAATACTTTGGCCTATCTAAGTTCCTAGCTATAATCAATTAAAGTTCAGCCTAGCTCAATCAAGAAGTTTTACACACTTCAAGAAAGGTCGGTAGCCAAATTTCCACCCTTGGAAATTACTTGGAGCTGATTTCCAGCTGCAGCTTTTGGTGAATTGTAAGCTTTATAATTTCTTGTTCAAAATCTCTCTTGCAGTAAAAAACTTTTCTTATATCTCCTCTATACTCCTAGACCTTCACTTAAGTTCCCCATACTTCAAAATAAATTTTTCAAGCCAATAGAAGGCTCTAGGCCTAGACTAGCTCTCCTTGATCTAGTCTTGCTCCAACTCCAATTAAACACCTCTAAAATCCCTAAAAAATTTCCCATATACTCTAAAACTATACTAGACATGTCCCTGTATTCCTTCCAAGGATTTTTAGCCCCTAGAGTTCTCCCATTTTCAAGCACTAAATAAACTATCCCCAACAGAAAGCTCTCAGCCAGGTCCCCAGGATAACCTCCTATATTGGCCAACCATTATTGCTTTGTAATCTTTCTACCACTTCTCTACCACCCCATCCAAGGCTTTCACATCATTCTCAATACATTATAGAACTGCTTCAGATACATTTGAACCTTCATTTAAGTCCATACCAAAGATCCACACCAAAAAGTTAGAAATTTGATTTTTACTTATTATTGGTAGTATGAGTTAGAGACAAAATGATGCAATTAAAAATTTGGGAGAGGGACCCAAATTTTTTATCACAAAAACATACCCTTTCTAGAGAATAAAAGATTACAAGAACTCACAAAAGCTAGACAAATTAGACAAAACAAACTTTTATATCATATAAAGACTTACAAACTTTTGACTCTTACAAACAACTCAAACAAACGACTCAAACAAAACACCTAAAGTTGCTTTCATCCATTAGAAGAAGGATACAGGTGGAGTGTAAACTTGCGGATAGAAGAAAGAGATTAGGAGTCGAGACGAAGGTTGGAAAGAACCCGCAGGATTTCCGGAGGGGATGAGAAAGAAGCTTAGAAAGAGCCCGCAGGATTTCCAAAGCCAAAAAACCGCTCATGTTTTGTCCCAAAAATCACATTATCACACTTTTTTTTATAACCCAACACATCAACTATATATAGGCATAAGAGGGGAACCAAACAGCCCAAGAATCCCCATAAATGGAATGATAAAAGCCTTAAATTTCCTGCACAGGAATTCCAAACAGCAAAGCAGTCTTTTTTTTAATAAAAAGTCACGGCTCCAGCACAGGAAACCAAGGGACATTTCTCGGGAGAAGAGGGAGGAAGTCACGGCAGCAAAGAAACCCCAAACGGCACCTCAAAACTCCAGAAAGTGGCCACGGTTCCAACAGCCAAGCACAGGAAACCAGCAGTTTTTTTCACAAGTTCCAAAAGGTAAGTTCAATTCACGGTAAAAAAGGGACCACAGCAATAAATTAGGTAGAACCAAAGGGACAGCAGGAAACCAAAGCAAACCATGGGAGAAATCCAGCAGATAACCGCACCAGCCCAAGAGACAAAAGAAAGGTGAAAGGGTAAGGAAATGAGAAGAAAAAAGAGGAAAGAAGAAAAATCATTTTAAGAAATAATGAGCTAATTTTTAGTTCAATAAATGAACTAAAAATCAGCTCATAATGAGCTAATTTTTTACTATACATTAATGAGCTAGAGGAGTCAAAAATCAAATATTAGGATTTGATTTGACCACCCCCCTTGCCTACATCACAAAAGAAGCACATAGATCATGATCAACTAATTGTATTCATCATCATCAATAGTCTAATCCCAACTATTTGAGCTCATGATTAACTAATGGATTATCTTTTAAATATAGAAAGATGTTGCATGATGGCATCAAAGCAACTTCCAAATTAAAAAAAAAATCAAATAAAGAGCATAATTTGGTTAAGATAGCTCAAATTTAGCATTTTCAACATAGCACAAAGCACTTTTCTTCTTCTTTTTTTCAGCCTACAAGTTTTGTCGTTTTGAAGCAAATGCATCATAGTATAATAACTACAAGATTTTCAAAACAAGAGCAATTGAAAGATAAGAAAAACCTGTAACAGGCCTTGGGTTGTGCATGGAGCATAGGAAAGTGCTGTTGTGATCCATTCCCGCACAATCCTTTGGTATAAAGAACGAACAGTAGCGACCAAAGCAGGATCATTAACTTGGGCTGAAGGTAACTGATTATGAACTGAAAATAGAAGTGCATCCAAACAAGAATAGTTCCACAAAACCTGCAGGCATGTTACACGTTTTTATCTTTCTATGGTATAAATTTGCAAGCTGAATAACCCCTCCACCCAGATTAGACAAAGCGTACCTGTTGGAATTTCTCTTTAAATTGAGTTAACAAATTGACAGAGACGTCTCGAATATTTTCATCCCTCTGAGACATATTTCTTATAAGAAAGCAAGAATGTGCAGAAAGAACTTGTTCCACTATATCTGCTTCTTTTCCAGTATCCGAAATTCTCTCCTCCTGCAGCAAACATGTCAACCTTGACTTGATTTGCAGTTTAGACGATGAAAGGGAAACAAATGTTAAGTAGAACAAAAAACAGCGTGTAAAACCTAAGAATTATCACCTTCAGCCTCATCCCAATTATTTAGCGCCAGATTTCATAGTACTTCTATGCCAATAAGTACTATTTAAACCATATTTGGAGCCAATAATACCAAGCCATTTTGGAAAACTCCAATTAAGTAAGCTTTGGCCTACCATTATTTCTTGAGAAAAGAATCAAAATAAAATTAATATTATTTTTTTATTTTAAAAAAATGTTAAATAATTTTTTTAATTATAATTACTTGGAAATTACATTCAATAAATGTTTAATTAAAAAATATTCAAAATACCCTTACATTTAATATCATTAACTCCAACATTAAATATTAGAATCAAAGATCCAATTTTAAAGAGTTGGGGGACCAAATTAATATCTCAAAAGAGTTAGGGGATTATTTTGATCCCTCACAAAGAGTTGAGGGACAATTTTGATTCTTTTTTCATTATTTCTAATATCCCTTTTAGATTAGATGCATGGTACATCACTAGATCTTTTTTAGCTAAGGAATAGAATTTGTATCTCGTTGCATAACATATGAAAATATTAGTATATTCGTGTAATACCTAAAATGTTCAAAATAAATATAAGCATAAACATCCTCTAAATGTTAATTTATTTTCATTTAATTCTACCTTGAATTTTGAGTATTTAACTAATTAAAAAGTAATCAATTAATAATTAAATCATTTTTCTTACTAATGTTTTAGTAGTCTTTCCACTAAAAGCCACATGCATTGGAGGATGGCAGTGAGTGGAAATCCTGCGGCTGAGAGATGTTAAATGGAAATAGGAATTATAATATTATAACTGTAGTGGAATGCCTAGCTAATGCAACGGCTTAAGCCATTTATTCTTCACTACTTGATTCCTTGGCCTTAGAGTCTGAAGCATGCCGTGAGCAATCCAAACAGAGGGAGCAGCAAGCTATGGCTAAGTGCAGGTCTTTTGACTGCTGGGGAGAAAGCAGTAAGATGGGGAATTAAGGAGTATGTATGAAAGAAAATTTAATTAAAGGTTGTCGTGCTTCAGAAATTACCATTTCTTAAATCATATTTGCTGAAATATTCATTGTTGAGAATTATCAGGTGTTGTAATCTATAGTGCTGAAATTAAATTGCTAAAGACTGGTTGCTAAATTCATATTTTAGAATTCAGTTCTGGTTGGTTGAAATCGGTAAGAAAAATAGAGTAGACCTAAAAAGTCTTGGTTAGAAAGTATTAAAAATGATATTTTCTTTATTAAATTTAAATGAGAATTTGATTCTTAATAAGAACACTAAAGAAAAAGAATTCATGTAACCGACCACACTTAGTGGGATAAAAGCTTCTTGTTTTTGTTGCATCTTTAATCAATATAGTCCCAATACCCCCTAGTAAAATTATTCTTTAATCCCTTCATTTCTAACTTTACCTCACTAATATAAATTTTCTAATTTTTATTACACTCAACTTGATTGTCCATGATTTTTTATTACCTAAAACTCATACCATAAATTATAGTCGGCCTAACTGCAATCATATAACCTACCATTTAAATCTTCTTGATAATCTTGTACTAATGAGGCCCTTCCCTATTTTATAAAGCCCTTCACTATTTTATAAAGCCAACTAATTTAGAACTGAAATAAATTTCCTATAATTCCCTGTTCCCCCTCTTCTCCATTCATAACAACACAGAAAGCTAAAGCATATTGCTTGAGCTGACACTTTTGCTAAGGCCTAATTGGTAGCCAAAAAGAAGGAACAAAAACCACTCCATTCCAGCATCACAATTCAAGGACATCATGCTTGCAGTCAAAATGAATTATGTTGGTCATTACTACACAATAAGAACTGTATACAAAATTGACACAGTCCTTGCAGGAACAACATTATGATAGCATTCCATGGCCCTTTCACAACAGACAGAAATAAAGGATTCAAATTCAGCAGTAGCTGGAAGATATAGAGGATTGAAATCCAGAAGTAGTTGCCTACATAAAGATGAATAACTGGCTCATAGCATAACGCATAATTATGGGTATGGCTTTCAAAGTAACTCCGTGCAAAAAATTCTTGTGTAACCTAAAGACAGACAAAAATATCAAAAACGTATAATGTTGACTTAAACGGTTAACCACTTCAAAGCCCTGTGAACTTAAAATGTTCAGCAATACAAAGTGGCTCGTCTTATAGAAAACTTCAAAATAGTCGAAAAAAGCATATTACTAGACATAGCTCATTTTGTAGCATTGTAGCACATAATTGTACAAAATTTTACCTTGAGAGAGAATACAAGGTGGGAGTTCAAACAAAATTTTGTGGCACAGATTAAACTCATGCAAAAAAAGTACACGGACTAAACTAACAAAAGAATACAGAGATGCAAGTAGAACACAGTTTAACAAGAAAAAAAATCAATAATCATATTTTAAAATTACACTTTTTACAACTGCAACACAATATGCATATTCATCCAACCACGTGAAACAACAAATGGCTTGATTTCTGTTATCACATTTTACTTGAAACTCTTCAATGCTGCCAACAACTAAAACATTATGTTTTCTCATTCTGATTCCGAATCAATAAAATCCTAAAAGTAAGGATTCTACCGTCCCAGCGAAGAGTAGATGAATATATAGCAATTTTCTGAACCTAACGAAGCAATGAACCATAAAATAGTCAAATCAAAGAGGATCCACATATTAAACGGTGAAAGCAATATACAAGAAAACACGTTGCATGATGGTAAATAAATTGGAATGTCATTGGATTGAAATATGACTGGTCAAATATGAATGAAATCACAATAGTGAAGTTGGCCTGCCTATGGAAGTATCAAACCATGACATAATCTAAAATGATGCTGAATGTTTGTAGCCATTTCAAGAATCAAAACTAGAACCGAATAGCTGTTGATATGTAGTGCCAGTGGCATAGAACTATTCTCACCATGAAATGGAAACAATGTGAATATACTCGCTGAAGTGACTGACAATGCAAATCAAATGTCTGGAGTGACTACACGGATTATAAGCTAGAAGGTACTATTAGAAGTTGAAACAATTACAATAAAACTAACCCAAACAGCAATAGAAACTAGGGGAGTAAAAATGGGTTGCAGGTTGAACCGGACATTGACCCGCTGCAAAAAAACTGAACCCGACCCATTTTTGCAAACGGGTCAAAAATTTCAACTCGGACCCGACCCGCAAAAAAACCAGGTCAACCCGACCCGACACGAATGACCCGGGGTCAAGCACGAATTGCACATTCGCACGTTGCGCAGGGCCACATGAAGAGGCAGAACGCGTAGGTTGGACTCGCGGTCAGAGGCTGGCGGGACACTCGTTAGGAATTGCGGGAGAGACGTGCGGCCACCTAGGTTGGACTCGTGGCGAGTGGGACGCGTCATGGGTAAGTGGTGCAATCGGACTCGCTCGGTGCTATGGTTAGGGCTTGCAGGTGAAACGCAAGGACGTGAGGAGTTGGGGACAGTGCAGCCTGTGCCACTATGCGCCTATACAAGACGAGTGGGCGAGTGAAGAAGTCGGAGGACATGTTAAAGATGGGTCAACTTCGGGTTAGCGGGTTGACCCGAATCCAAACCGATTTTTCAAACGGGTCAAATCCTGGAACCCAAACCCGACCTGTTTGCCAAACGAGTTCCCCTAACACAGAATTTTCGGGTCGGGTTTAGGTCAATTTTTTTAGTCGTGTCAAATATTGACACCCCTAAACAAGGGGTTACCGTTGTGAGCCCCCTTAAACTGCTCTTAAAACCAAGGTTTAAAATTGCATTGTATTTGGGTATTGAGGCGTTTTTCGTTCATGAGGCGAGGCGTAAGCCTCAAACTCCAAAAATTGTGTAAGTAAAAAATAAAGTTGAAAGAGATTTTTTATATAATACCCTAATAATATGTTAAATGATAGTATATTAACTTTCTATTGAATTATGAAGTAACAAATTTATATACATATGAAACAAAAAATTAAACAAAATGTAAAGTGATAAGTAATAAATTATATGAAATAGAATTGAAATCCAAATATCACATGAGAAAAACAACATAAAATATATGAATTGCATAAACATATCATATAGCATCAACTTTAACTCTAAATTTAATTCTTTCTCAATTCCCTACTCATCTACATTTAATTACTAATAAAGTTAAAAAAATTGACAAAAAATCATAAATCATATATACTATCATTACTAAGGAGATTTTTATTTGAGTCATCATAAAATTTTTGCCACTTCTTTGCCTCAATATGTATGCTCCAATACCTACCAATCTACTTCTTTATTTATTTCAACCATCTTCCTCTTTCATAAACATTTTTCATCAACATAAAATAAGAGTAATACTTAAATTTTTATAGGAGATGGTGGCGGTATGCGGATTTCAAGTGATCCTAGCGGCGCCTATGACAGTGGTGGCTACGGCGAAGGCTGTGGGCTGGAGGTCAAGGCAGTTAAGAGGAAGTTAATGCGTCTTTGGAGCGCAAGAAAGCATGATTTTTTTTGGAGTTTTTTATAGGATTTAGCTAAGTTTTAAATAAAAACATACATAAATAGAGCTAGGCGCATGAATCATGCCAATGAGGCGAGGCGCCCCTCAAGGCATGCCTCAGCCAAGATGAGGCGTAAGCCTCATAAAAAAAAAGCTCGAGGCTTACGCCTCGACACATTTTTCATTGAAATTGCGTTGAGGCGGGCCTCAAGGCGAGCCTTATATTGCGCAATTTTAAACAATGCTTAAAACTATACATGAATCAAGAGACTGGCTTTTATCATTAACTAAAAAAGTTGACATCAAACAAGAATTACAATAAATGACCATACCATTTGAAAAAACTGTATAAGCAAAGCCAAGAAAAAGGAGGTTAAAAAAAATTATAGCTTATACTAGTTAAAGAGAGCATAAATAATTTGATGTTCTATATGAGACCCACAAGAAATGCATGTAATAAGGTAGGTACATATAATTATTTCAGGAAAACTACAAGGCAAAACCATATCCACAAGTAGAATGATAAGATAGATGTAAATTGCTTTCAATTATGTGACAAAATGAAACGTTAAAAACCATTGGCTCTATAAAACAATCCTAAGTTTTCAGAATTGCAACAGTCACTATTTCAAGCAAATTTTCATTACAACAAACGGGAAAGGAGACATGATAATGTAAACCACCGAAATGTAAATAGTTACAATAAATGACCCCATCAGATAAAGTTAGCAGCAAAGTTAAGCAAGAGGGAAAAAATAGAGATTATAGCTATATGATCTCTAGGATATCCACAAGAAATGCAGGAATCAAGGAGTAAAGAATTATTTCAGGAAAAGTAAGAGGAAAACCCATTTCTATCCAAGGGGGAATGGATCCATCTCAACAAGTAGCAATAACAAGCCGATAAATCTAACTAATAAAAGACAATATGAAATGTTAAAGACCAATGGTCCGCTACAAAAAAATCCGAAACATTCCAATTTGCTGCTTTGGACAGTTCTGGAAAATTTAAGTTGAGGCTAAAGTAAAGGGTGACTTGAGAACATCAAACGATAACAGAAATTACCAGCCATGCAACTGCTATTTCAGCAGCACAGTAGACAATTGCTTTCAAGATCTGGAAGACAGCGGGTGTTAGGCTTGGTGTGAGTAGATATTCAAAAACACAGCTGAAAGCACTTCTTGAAATATTTGACATAGAATCAGCAGGAAGAATGCCACCATTACAGCTGAATCGTATGGTCTCCAGAACTGTAACAGCTAGTAGATAGGTAGCCTTTACACCTACCAGTAAGGAGAAGGAAGGAGCCTATGTTATTGAGACAGTTGAGAAAAAGTGGTCAAAAGATGGAAGAAAAATTTGAAGTTCTTTTGTGATTCTGAATGGGTAGAAGCATTTGGATGGAGACTAAAATAAAGCATATGCTTGTCAAAAGCAACTAACTAGAACCTGAAATTGTATTCATTGCTGCAACCTCAACTCGGCCTCCTAAGGCAGCAGAAAGAACACTTCTCTGACCAACAGCAGCTTTCTCATTGTTACTGCCTCTTCGGCTACCAGGGTTATGCAGGGCATTCAGCTCCAACTCATCTTCAAGCCACTTAACTGAGCTCACAACCTATGGAAGAAGTTCAAAAAGCATAACATTAGATTTCTTGCATGGCAAAGGATATATAATTTGCCCTTCCACAAACAAGGTAAAGTGTAAAATGGCCTACCCATCCTAATTGAAAATTTTACTTCTTAAAGGTGCAAGATCGCCCAATTGTTTGGTTACATTACTTGCAATTTTCTTCTCAATGAACAAATTTTAAATATGAAGAAGTTTCATAATAAAGAAGCAGACAACATCTAGGACCTTTCTTAAAATTTATACTTAGAGGCAAAGATAAGAAATTCTTACCTGAGGAGAAGGCACAACCCAAACCCACACACTCTACAATCCAATATATGATTGCATAATCTTCTCATAATAAGATATCAAAAATGCAATACAATTGATCAGCTGGCTCAGACATGCAAACCTACCAAAGGTGGAGTTCCTTGTGCTATGCGTTGGACAGCTCCAAACCACTGCCCAATCGACGTGTATGGTCCAGTGACTGCTTGAAGTGGACTTGCAGCCGAACTCCCCAAATTACTCAATGAGTTGGGGATTCCCTTTGCTGAAAATTGATTTTGGTGCCCATGAGGAGCTAGCCCAAATAAAACAATATAGAACCAAAGGTTCCGGAACAATTTAAGAAGTGAAGGCTCGATGCTGGTAGCTGGGTCAAAATCAGAGCAAATTTCTGCAACAGCAGGAAGTAGTGGACCCAAGAAATCAGCACCACTCCTATAGGAATTCAAAGAAAAAGTGAGGATACCAACAAGAATAGAAATTTTGAATAGAAGATAAATGGCAACCCAGATATTAAAATTGTGAATTACAATATTGCAATATATGGGAACATTATGGGAACATTATATAGCATGCAACTACTAATGCAAAACAGAACCGTGTTTTATTTTGTTTTAGGGTCACAACATCAGTAAAGATAACATATGGGACAGCAAATTGCCATCTTAGTTCAATTTGTCCATAAGTGCCAGGAAAACAGCAAAGATAAAAACTGGAAGGTTGCATATTTCTACTACAAGAATGTTGTGCTTCTTTAGAAAATACGTAGCATTACTAATGCTTCAATAAATAATATACACTACCTCCCACTATTTGATTCAGAAGCTAGTCCAACATCAGAACACAAAGACAAAAGACGGTGGCGATAGTCTCCCCTTAGTTTTGAGCTAGTTAAACGAGAAGCAACGAGATGAAATCCTGCAGGGAGAGTCTGTGCAGAAATTCTTAGGCACGAGTATCATTTGTATTCAAACACTTACAAAAATTATAGCTTCATTGAGTCGCTAAGTAATCAGAAGCACACCTCCAACCTCTCAGTGGCAGCTTCTGAGGGTAATGAGTTGATTTCTGCATTCCCAAAATTTTTAACCTTATCCAAATAGCTCCGTGTCATCAAGACAACTGCCTCTCGATAAGATTTCTGGAACCCCAAGCAAGCCATTTGAGATACTGCATCCAGGAGCTGCAATTTTTGATGGAACAAAAAAGAAAGAAGTTAATGTAGAAAGCAAAGAATAAAAGGTTGGTGTGCCAAACTAGTCAAAAATGAAAAATAAGAATATATAGCATATAGAAAATTAATGTAATAGCATGTACATTGTGAGAAGACAAGGTTCCATACTCGTAGACGCAGTAAACCTGCAGATGAAGCATCACCCTCTTCTAGACTTTCAATGAACAAAGGCAATATCATATCAACGACTTCCCACTTATTGACAGTTACACTCAAGTCAGCCAGCAAACGTATAAGATTATGCTGAATTGCAGGAACTGCTTGTTTTTCTTTCCCATCCTGAAAAGCAAATATACTGTGATGCTCCCCAAGAAGCATTACTTTAAGGAAATATATTCTGAAAAAGCAATCATTAGACAGACATACCAATTTCTGTTTCGTTTACAAAAGATTGTTTTGATATTTGCATATGCCAGTAAAATAAATGTGGTTATTAAAATGTTTACTAAGATCCTGGCAAATCAATTAGCTTTTCTGCTACCAAGATTGATATCTACCGAGGACAGAGGGTTTGCTAAGAGTAGAGGAAAATCAGTGATAATATTTTATTGGCTCAAAAACTGTTCAACAAGAGGGAGAATTTTTTATTTAAATATTGACCATCCCAAAGCTTATGACAAATTGCAATGAGACTTTTTACTTGAGTGTTGGAGAAATTTGGATTTTATGGAAAGTGAACATCTTTGTTGCATTGCAGTATTTCTAATCGTTGGTTTTCTGTATTATTTTATGGAGAATGTTCAGGTTTTTGCAAATCTTAAAGTGGTATAAGGCAAGGGGATCTTTTTTTTCACCAGGTTTCTTCATATTAGCCGAAAAATAGTTATCAAAAGTTCAAAAGGACTTGTAAAGCTGCTTTGTACTTACTCTTCTATGAGTATTATTCTAGATGACAGTTGAATGTTTCCCACCACACCTATCATTCCCTGATGAAACTAGTGTTTTCTTGAATGGCAACAATAATTCAGTTATGCAGCTTATCAAGTTCTTGGATGAACATGAATCATAATCAGATTTAATGGTTGACCATTCTAGGAGTTGTTTAGTTGCCTATAAGCATATGCATCCTCCAGAATCTGCATGATTAGTCGGGTTACAGGATTTCCAAATCAGCATTTCCATCAAATTATCTAGGGCTGCCTCAATCCAATGGCTTAAAGAGGATTTCACAGTATGGTGATCACATAAAGAACATCCAGTGTAAAATTTCTGCGTGGGAGCACAATCTACTGTCCCCTCTTGGTCTTATTACACTTGTGAGCAGCTTTTTTATGATTCAAAATTATTATAAGGGAGTGCATCCAATGTTAGGGGAAGTTATAAATAACAAAACTAATACTTGGAAGAGATTAGATTTAAACAGAGAATACACTGAAAGATATGAGACCTAAGGCAAGGGAGCTAGAATAAATGTTTTTTGTTGGCATGATTTATGGTTTGAATGAGCTATTCTTGCAGCCTTATTTCCAATTTGACTCATTCTTCTACCAGTGTATTTCTTTCAAGATGAACTCTGAAAATTTGCCAAAATGTAGTAGCCAATGCCTCAAAAAATAGTAGCACATATTATACAAGGTCCATTGCCAATGGTCAAGAAGATGTTATTATTCCCCTTACTATTTCTAGCATAAAAAAAGGTTTGATTTCAATTTCAAAAAAAACTGAGAGATAAAACATTGGAGCGCCTAAATTACTCCCCTTACTATTCCTTTATTTGGATGGCTATTGTTAGAAATGTCCTTCAATGGATGGGAAATTAAAAAAGTTTGAAATTCATATGATTTCAAAATATTAGTATTGTGCTGCAGTAGAGCATTACACCATTCAATTCTTAGATGCCCAATCCAGCAATCTCTCAGGTCTAGTCCCTAAATGCACATTTATTTCAACTTCAAGTTCCAGATACTGAATCGATCTCTTGCTTCTTAACTGCTTGGATGAGTCAGGGGGGAATGTATTGACACTGAGTCTATGAGATTTTAATTCTTCCTTTGTTTTGCAGTTTGCTTTGCTTAAGAAAAATGATTATAAATATAGGAACTTTAATTTCAACGCCAAGGGTATCATTTGGAGAGTTAATAATTAGATAAAATAGTTCATAAATGCTTCACTTAATGATGATAAGGCTTTAAAAATTGAAGCAACATTATGCTCTAACATTTAGCTTGAAAAGGAAGGAGGATATGCTAATGCCCAAAGTAGTGGTGTAAAACTGTTCTTAGTGATAGTTAAACTAAATGTCGATTAATGTGCTAAAGAAAACACAGAGGATGCAAAAGTTGGTGGATTGTTTAGAAACCATAAGGATCAAAATCTCTTTGCTTTCTTTGATTATCTAGAAGTGAAAACTCCTTAGTGTGCTGAACATTTTGTTTTGGATCATGACTTGCAGAGATGTCAGTCCATAGTCATTGATAAGATATGGATAGCAGTCGAAGCATTAAGCCTTAAAAACTCAGTATTCAATAATACAAAAGAAAATAACTGGCTTACCATTCATTTTTATAACTTAGAAAATTGTTGTTTTACTTTCATTTAAAAATTGGACATGTTTGGCATGAAGGGCTTGCAACCCATAGTGAGCTAACTGGCTAGTTAAGGAGGCGAGAAAATTAAGAGAGCCAAGGGTTTGCAGCCAGAAGAAGTTTATAGACAATTGTTGGATCTTGTTAATTGGATGGGTGGGGATATCCTTATCTCAGAAGTTGGGTATGGAAGATGGATTAGCACTCATCTTAAGAATTGATCTTATACAATAGTTTTTCATCTATTAACAGCTTTTGATTCCTTGTGAGATCCAATTGGTAGGTATGCTTCCTTGTGAGATCCAATTGATAGGTACAATCCATAAGTGTGAAAGTGAGCCAAACCGGCTCGAACTTGACTTGTTAACAAGATTGCAAGTCGAGCTTATCAAGACACAAGCTCAAGCCTAGATTACAGCACATCAATTAACGAGCTCAAATTCGAGCTTGATGAGGCTCGGATGAATGGCTCTCCAGCCAACTAGATTAAATTTAAATACTAAATATTTTTCTGCCCCATTTTACCTTAAATCCTGATAGTGTTCCTCCCCCGTTTAATTTAAAGTTAGTCGCATTACGATTTTCTCTTTTTCTTCTTCAAATGTCATTGGCAACAGGTCGTGTCGGGACTTCCTCTTATTCTTCTTCAAACGTCATAATTCTCATTGTGACTTCCTCTTCTTCTTCTTCAAATTTTGTTGGTCATGCAGTGACTTTCTCTTCTTCTTCTTCAAACATATATGGCCTTTTCAATGTTTTCTCCAGTAAGCTCTGACTCCCTTGCCGATGTTGATAGCTTCCCCTTCAAACTCCCATCCCGACTTCCTTGCAATGCTTCTCTAACGATCTAGAGCTCACGCTCAAGCTGGAGCCTACAATTAGACCAATGAACCAAGTTTAAGCTCAACTCGAGCTTGAGCTCGAGCTCAAGTTCATTCCTTCCATTAAGCAAGTGATCAAAGCTCAAGTTAGTAATGACTCAAGCTAAACTCAACTTATACCCTAGATAAACCCATTCATCAATGTTGCAGATGAAGCGGTGGTGTGGAATGATTGATACAGTAGCATCTATTTACTTCACAAATGCAAAGGCTTAATTGAGCTTTTGTTATTTTGTTCAAATATAGTTTTATTACTTAGTCAATCAGGTGTTTCAAACCACTTACATGTAATTTTGAACTTTTAATGGAAAATAGATATGGGCGCACAAACCCCATGTCTAGAAAAACGGAGCAAGGAAAAAATTCTTCACAAATCCTTATTTTTTTTTCTATATCAAACATAAAACTCAAGGAGATTTTCTTAAATTCGATGTTGGAAAACACTTTGTGTAACACTAAATGAATGACAAAATAAAGTACGCAAGCTATGCAACATTAAGCTTCTTGAGGTATCCTGGATGGTGTGGGGTAAAAACCATTTCCTAAGACACAAAAGATGTAAGCAAACCTGCTCCTCATAATCATTTCTTTCTCGAATGCATGCAGCCAACCCCATGATGAAAGTATCAACAAGAGCCCTGTCCTTGCTCCAACCAAATTCTACTATCTCGCAACTTAGCTTTGTAACAGCCACAAACATTGCCCCGGGGTTGTTACCTAGCATATCAGCCTACTCCAAGTGAAACATCAAGTCAGTAAACAATAAAAATGTGTTTCCACCTAGCCGCATATATATCATTAAAATATCCATTGAGGTATGATAAATACCTGAGCACATGTTGTAAGTACCAGGGGTTTCAGAGGAATGATCAAAACTCGGAGTAACTGGCCTCCACGATAAACCGTTATCTGGCTAATTCCATAAAGTAGAGTACTGAATAAATCCTCGCAGATTTTCAACCTCCTCCAAGAAGAGATTAGACAAGCTTCCGCAGCATCTAAGAGCAGTGCAAGCGTCCTACGCAATGCATCCTTGGAGGCTTTCCCGTCTGGATCTAAAGAAAGTATACTCTTAATTTGCACCTCGATGGCTGCTTGACAACAAGATAGTTTGGCGCTGATTATGGCTTTCAACTGTGGGCCTTGTTCTTTCCAATCACGTTTGCGGATCTACAACAGAATACGAATGGATTAATACAGTAGCATGGAATCTAAGTCAAAAGAAATTTTATTATTTGTAATTTCCGCACGGCAGAGGAAGGCAAATCAATAATTCACTAAAATGGCTTCTGCATACATTATAAATGGTTTAAACCCCTGATCAATGGATAGCAATCACTTAAATAACTGCAATTATTTGTTTAACAAGATAGATTGCTGGATAAGAAGTGGAAAGTAGAACATGATTTAATAAGCAAGCATTTAAATAATTCATGAATGCCTAATCTTTTAGACAACAAACTCAATCATACACAAAAGAACAGTTTAATAGGTTTCTTTCAAATAGCATAAAGAGGATTTATATAAAAAATATTCTGGCAACAACCTTGAGAAAAGATGGCAAAGACTTGAGCTGCTTGGCAGCAACTTTCTGAAAAAGCTCCAACTGCTCAGCCTTAATCCTGCCAGCCCTATCCAGAACCTGCCGGACCAACCTAAACGCTATCTCCAACTTCTCCAACCCCTCAACAGGCTCTACCTGAACTACCGCAGATCCACCTCCACCACCCCCACCATTCGAACCCGCGCTGATCCTCCCGCCAACACTGCCCCCATTTTCCACCGACAAGATCTCGCTTGAACCATCATCGACAACATCCCGATCCTCCTCCATCACCTTTCCCTTAGAGAGGCTGCTCGATCCCCAAGACATCGAATTCTCCGACCCCGACGACGAAATCCCCTCATCCTCTGGGACAAACAGCTCATGAAGGCATGCCAAAAGTCTCTCAGCGTCCCCAGCCAGAATCGGAGGGCAATTGTGCGCAACGGCAGAGAGGAATGCCCGAGCAATGGCCGTCTCATCACCAGTGCAGGTCGCGGCGGAGACTACAGTGTTGCCAAATATGACGGCGAGGTCGGAACCAAGGGAGGGGGAGAGATCGGCAGCGATTGAAAGATAGCTGAGGAGATCGGAGAAGAAAACGGAAATGCTGTCGAGGGAGAACGACTGTGGCCAGAAGGAGAGGCGAAAAGCAACGAATGGGACTGCACGAACGAAGTCGAGGACTGTGGATGGTACGTTGGAGACGGCGGCGGGTAGATTGGAGCATTTGGAGAGAAAGCGAGCAAGGGCAATGAGGGCGTTGAGATGAGAACGCGTGACACGCGCTGATCTTACTCCCATCGGAGTTGCCAGAAGCGCTGCCGCAGAAGGGCAGCGGCTGCAAATCCAGGCTAGCTTGTCAGCAAAGAGATCTGGGTTCTGTGCCACGAGATCACAGAGCTCCGTCAGCGCCTCCATAGCGGCGATGTAGGAAGACGGGGAAGGGAGCGAGCGGAGAAATAGAGAGGGAGAGTGATGGATTTTATATAGGGAGACCGCTGTGAGGGGCAGTTTGGATACAGAATTTAAGCAGGATTTTTTTTTTCTTTTCTTATTTTTTTTTCTTTTTTTGAGTTAAGGGGATTCTGAGTCTGGATGAGATGCGAGGAATTTCTTTCATCGAACAATTTAGAGAACTGTTAAGGGCTGTTTGGTATGGAATTTGGGCTGGAACTTATGCCTATTTTAATTTAAAACAAATAAAAAAAATGGAACATTTAGGTCAATTAAGGCATCTTATGCACACATATCTCATATATAAGATTCGAATCAAAATATCTTAGTTGGTAGTCTAACCTCCAATACCAAGGTGAGTTGTGTTTTTAGAGAAATTATTAGGTGAGGAGACCGAACGTAGAGGTACGTCCGAACTCCAATAAAATGTTAACAATGGAATAAATACGTGGATATTTAATTGAATTTATTTTTTATTTTATTTATTTAATGTGTTCGCGGAACTTTAAGCCAAGCGCACCAAAAACGTAGGTAAAGTGTGGGTAAAGCGTAGTCAAAACGCAGTAAAAAACACAACAAAAGAACAATCAAAGTGCAACTAAAGTACAAGTAAAGCCAATGATCAAGGGAATCAACATCAGCCGTCCATTCAAACCACTTTCAACTTATCCTTGATCTCACTCTTATTTACAAACCATGCCACTCACAAAAATATATAAATAGACCCCTCATTTCTCATGGAAGGGGGCCCAAAATAAAGGAAGCAAGGAAGAGAAATATGATATCTCTCTTGCCACCAAGCTCCTCCTCGACCACCTCCTGGACTTCAATCGGACCACCGATTGATGCCGAACTTCTGTTGGACCACCAACTGACACCGAAATTCCGTCGGACCACCAACTAACGGTCGGACTTACGCCAGACCACCTAATGATGCCAAACTTCTGCCAAACCACCGACTGACGTCGGACTTTCGTCAGACCACCAACTGACACCTAAACTTCTGCCATACCACCAGTTGACCCTGGACTTATATCTGACCACCGACTGACACCGGACCTCCGACTTTCGGTCGGCCACCGAATAACACCAGACTTCTGCTCAGCCACCAACTAGCACCAAACCCTCATTTGATCTCCATTTGTCACTAGATTTCAAAATGACGATTGACTATTGTAATATGATCTTCCTCGAGGACGGTTCAGTCATCTATAATATGTTCAAGCACTACAAGAATTATTTCAATTGGGCGTGGCCCCGTGATTTTTCCCCTTTCTAAGGTTTTTCACATAAAAAATATTGTGTTATCTGTTTGTGTGTTAGATATCCATATAACACTAAGATGTAAAATTTTAACTCTATCGTTGCGTATATTCTAGCCCACAACAGTATTAAAATTTTTATTAGAATAATACCTTAAAAAATAATTAATTAATATTATTATTAGTAATTAAATTATTAAATAATTTATTGAATAATTAAACTAGCTTCTAAGTATATTATTCATAAGTAGCTCATAGCTAACATGCAAATAAAATTCAAAGTACACTAAATTTAAGTTTTAAATGAATCAACCGCCTTAAATCTTGGATTACATTGCAAAATAGTTTCGCAGGATTTATTAGAATGTAACATATGTTATACCAAACAGTTTTCAATATTTAACGCCCTCAAGATTTATTAAAAAGTATTTACATGATTTACTAAATCACAGTAAAGTTAAATCCAATTTGATACCAAACAACCCCTTAAATCTCACAGTGAGATAATCTTATGTTTTCCACTTTTTGCTTTAAATCCCAGATTTACTAAATCCAAGAGTTCGACAGATTTAAAGGATTTGGCCAAAGAAGAGCGTGAAATGAAGAAAAATGGCCACCTTCGAACGAGCAAAAGCAAGCTCCTATCGTCGTCACTTCCGATCCAACAGAAGAACGACAAGAAGCTATGACTTCGAATTCGACAGGAAGCACTGGCGGATGCAGTGTGGGGGCCATGGGGGCAGTGGCCCCCACTGACTTTGGGAATAACATAGTATTAATAATATTTATGAAACATTAAATAAATAATTATTAAGTCCTTCCACCTTTCCCTATTCCTATTTCGCAGAAATTTGCAGAGGAGCTGAGCGTAGCCGTATTTTGGTTGCTACAGCCGCTACGCGGACCTGTTTCTCTCGGCGCCGGAGGAGTTCGAACCCCGCCGCCGGCCACCCGTTCAACGTAGAGGTTCTTGACATAGTGACTCATGAGGGATTTAATATTGACCAAAAAGGTGAAGCATATTCTCTACTTGAATCTATGCAAAGTTTTGATTTTATTTTTAATTTGCATATGATGAAGACTATTTTAGGGTTACTAATGAGTTATCACAAGTACTGCAAAGAAATGATCAAGATATTATAAATGCAATGACTTTGATAAAAGTTTTCAGACAAAGACTTCAAAACATGAGAAATGATGGGTGGGAAAATTTGTTTAAAGAGATTGGATTGTTTTGTGAGAAGAATAACATAAACATGACTAATACATTTGTGATGCTAGGAAGATCAAGACGCCGTACTGAAAGTATAACAAATAAACATCATTATCAAATGGAGTTATTTTACACTGTTATAGATTTGCAACTTCAAGAGCTAAACAATAGATTTGATGAAATTAATACAGAATTACTTATGTGTGTGGCATGTTTGAATCCATATAAGTCATTTTCAGATTTTGATAAAGAACGATTGCTTCATCTTACAAAATTTTATCCATCAAATTTCTCTGAAATGGATCTCATCATACTAGACAATCAAATAGAAAATTTTATTGTTGTTATGAGATCGAATAAAGCATTTATGAATTTAAAAGGACTTGGAGAACTTGCTCAAAAATTAGTGTAGACAAGAAAGCATGATATATTTCCTTTGGCGTTCTCACTTATAAAGCTTGCTCTGATATTGCCAATTGCTACAGCAACAGTTGAACGGGTTTTTTCTGCAATGAAAATTATAAAGAATCGTTTACGCAATCGTATGGGAGACTTCTGGATGAATGACTGATTACTTATATTGAAAAGATATGTTTAGTACTATTGACAATGACATGATTGTATAATGATTTCAAAAAATAAAGACTCGACCGGATAAATTATATATAACATATAAGAAGAATATCAAGACTATGTTCTCAATTGTAAGTTTTTCGCTTTACTATATTTTTTTGTTTTTATAATGAATCTAATGTTTTAAAAAAAAAATGAAATCGCCTATGCCGGTCCCAAGCCCAGATGAAAAAGGTTAAGGGTTTTTTTTTTATTTTTACATACATACCACTTTATAACATATGTATTACATATTTAACGCCTAATTCTTAAATATTACACTCATACCACCTATTATGTATTTTCACAACAAAATTACCACTCGGTTAATAGCGTTACTGTCACGACCCGACCCGATCCGGGACGGATCCCGCTCGCACCTGGTCGCGACCGGAACGAACAGACTGACTTAGTGACCAGGATCTGGTTATGGAATTTGGTTCGGAATTGAATCTTCCAAATAATTTAACTCAAACAGACACACCAAACAGACACACAGACACAGAGCTACTATGAATCATCAAACACAGCAGAACAAAACATCTATCTTTTTTTTCTTTTCCTCAAAACAATCATATACGAATACAGTACATGGCTCATATAGAAAGAAACAGAGCAGAAAAGCCATGACTGTACAAAAATCAAAAGTACAAAATACCTATACTGATCAGACTCTGAAATCTATTCCTGGACTTCCTTCCCTTTCCCTGAACCTGAAAACTACCAGAAAACAAGAGTGAGCTCAACAGCTCAGCAAAGCAACAAACCTCCAATCAAAATTCTCAGAGTCCAAAACCAAACACATCAAACAAATCCGTACAGAAATCAGAACAGAATCAGACAGATATCAAATTGGACAGATCAGAACGAAACAGATATCAAAACAAACAGAACTGTACGGAAACAGAAGTCATATCAAATCAGAAACAGAACAGATCAGACATATCAAATCAACAGAATCAAAATCGTACATAATTCAGAATTCAAATCATATCGGAACAGAACAGAATCGTATCAGAGTCATACAGAAATCATATCATACAGATCAGATCAATTCATATCGTACAGAAATCAGAATCATATTTGCTTACAGAACAGATACGAAAATCAGAATCAGATTTTCTTACAGAACAGATACGGAAATCAGAATCATATCAAATCAGATATCAGATATTATTTAATTCATAGCTAAATGCCCTGAAACTGATGGAATCTCTACGGATTCCAGCCCCTTATGCCTCCCTTCCCAGACACTGACAGAATCTCTTGGATTCTAGCCCCATATGCCTCCCTTTGTGCTCACGGCACCAGAACAGATGTGCTTATAGCACCAGAACAGAATTCATCGGATCCGGAACAGAACGTTTGAATCCATATAAGTCATTTTCATATTTTGATAAAGAACGATTGCTTCATCTTGCAAAATTTTATCCGTCAAATTTCTCTGAAATGGATCTCATCATACTAGACAATCAAATAGAAAATTTTATTGTTGATATGAGATTGAATAATGCATTTATGAATTTAAAAGGACTTGGAGAACTTGCTCAGAAATTAGTGTAGACAAGAAAACATGATATATTTCCTTTGGTGTTCTCACTTATAAAGCTTGCTCTGATATTGCCAATTGCTACGGCAACAGTTGAACGGGTTTTTTCTGCAATGAAAATTATAAAGAATCGTTTACGCAATCGTATGGGAGACTTCTGGATGAATGACTGATTACTTATATTGAAAAGATATGTTTAGTACTATTGGCAATGACATGATTGTATAACGATTTCAAAAAATAAAGACTCGGCCGGAGAAATTATATATAACATATAAGAAGAATATCAAGACTATGTTCTCAATTGTAAGTTTTTTGCTTTACTATATTTTTTTGTTTTTATAATGAATCTAATGTTTTTAAAAAAAAAATTGAAATCGCCTATGCCGGTCCCAAGCC